GGGTCGAGCTTCAGAGACAAAAATATTTTTTTTTGCCCAATCATTTATACTCAAATATAAATATAAATAAAACATACAGCATAAATAACATATCACATACAATATAATTTTATAATTCTATACTAATAATAATACATGCTGCATTTACTTTATTATAAGTTCAGTACTAGATTGTATCAGAGCCAATTAAGGCTTTACCTTGCCGTAAAATCTTGTCTCTCTGCTCTAGGAGGTGGTATCTCTCCTCTGCTGTTTCAGCCACCTGACCAATCAGAGGCTGCAGTACTGAGGGCAGGTTAATAATAGGTCGTTCTGCGCGCCGCTCCTCTGAGACTGAATCCAGTGGTGCCTCAATCTCAAATTGGAGTATTTTAGCAACAGCCGATTTTTGGATTAGAGAGCTATAACATAAAAACCACATGCAGAAATAAATAATTAGGCCAAAAAGAATCATGCAAAGGGACTGTTTGATATTACACGTCTTAAATTACCTTTCAGTAAGGGAGCTAGTGGTGCTGATGGGCACTGCTCTGGTAAGAGGCTTACGACTAGGGGAGGACTGCAAAAATGCAGCACCAGATTCTAAGTCCCCTGTCAAATCTTTGACTTCTGAAAGTCTAGCAGCCTTTTCACTTGGACCTGTAAGTGACAATCACTTCATAAGCATGTTTAAGTATGTATTTGTTTATTTATTTATGTTTTAACGCTATATCAGCAACAATGGCTATATTCATGGCAACATTAACAATATAATTTCAATACATCATTTACAATAATATAACATCTTAAGAAACTATTATTATACAAAAACTGTCTTCTAGTATATTTTCTGAATAACATTGTTTATAATTTAAAATTGGGCATTCTATTCAAATGTTTTACATTCAAAATATTCTTGAACAAGTCACAGACTGGTTTCTCTTCTCCTTTCAATAAATATGTATGAGTGAGTCTTGAATGTACAATTCAACATCTTGTATATACAACTTCATAGGCATAATAGCATGAAAGTTAACATTTAGTTAACATTAGTGCTTCTGCTTAATTAAGACCAAAGGTATAAAGGTATAAAATCACATTTACACAGCATATCTCCAAAAAAAATTTTCAGATGTTCATCAGTCTAAAGCAAAGAAAAAGTTATCATGTCCCAATTTTCAGTTAGTTCCTGTGTTGTTAAATTAGATTTGTATTGTAACTTTTAGCAGCAGCAAAAAAAATAAAATAAATGCAAATGTGAAAAAGTGAACTTGACCTCAAACAAGTTTAGTAGGGCCGGATTTGTTTCAGTGGAGATTTCAGTTCGAAGCAATACCAAAGATTATATAATTGGAATATTTGAATAAATGTTCTTTCTGCATTTTTATTCTTTAAAAACACTGTTAGTGCATTCATTGATCATGCATTTTGCAGTGTTATTTCTTTATATCATATTTTTGTCAACAATATATTTTAATGAAAATAGTTAAATTATCAAAACATTTTTCATCTTTCTTTTATTATACTGATTAAATAAACGCTTCATTTTCAGCAGTAATTCTATTGGTGACATTAACAAGAACAGCTTTTGAAGTTTAACAGTCCCACAAGGCAAAACCAAATTTTGACTTAAATTAGATTAATTGCACTGTCATGGTACACATTAAATATTACATTTAATAAATTAAGATTTTTACTTAATTTAATTAAAAGGCAAACAAACTTCTAAATAGTACTGTTACTCACTTTGCTTTTTTCTTTGCCAAAATATGTGAATTTCAGTCCCCTGGAACAGCTTTCCTTTCTTTTTGGCTTTGGCTGCAGATGCCTGGAAGGCAAGAGAGACTTCATCTAAATAATCACAAACACATACATTAAATGTAACTACTTTTGTGGCAATGAGCATTTTGTACTATGCAATTCACTAGATATGCTCACATGATCTTGGAAATGCACAATGGCCAGATTCTTCCGAGGCCTGCAATACACCTTAAGCACTTTCCCAAAGTGCCCAAAATGCTGTATGACAAGGTCCTTCTTGTTGAGGTTGGGTGGGATGCCTTTGCACTGTATAACAGTGGCATCAGTAGGAGAGAGACCAGCCAAACTGTCTGTGCTCTCCTTTCGAGAAGCCCGTCTACCTGGAGTGTGTGTCTGTGGTTCAGGCATGAGTGCTACAAAGACAAGTGATCACAACAATGTTAGCAAGAAAAATCATTTAAAAATAGCTTAGGATAAAAATGAGGGATATTATAGACCCATATTGTAGACTTTTTTTAACATTTATCAGATTCAGTCGATATTGAATATTTAATTATGAATGTTTTTTTACACCATTTTATTTTAAGAACACCAATAATTAAACAACACTTTTAAATGTAATCATCAACAAATCTCAAAATAAATATCCATTTTTCATACTGTACATTATAATGATGTCTAAATTCACTTGTAGCTTGTAGGTTTTTGTTATTTACTTAATTCACTTACTTTAATTTATCTTCAAAACAGTAAAGAAATAGTACGGAATATTTGTCAATAACATGAAAATAATCTAATTTTAATATTGGTGCGCTCCTGAAGAAAAATCACAAGAGAAGACAAGTAACTTACAAACTTCCTCTGCTTTTTTCAGTACTGTGGGAACCTGCGATCTTGGATGTATAGTGACCACATCACTGGCTGGACCAGGTGGATCTGGTCTATCTGGAGGATGATCTTCTCTCTTCACTGGAGTGAATTTGGATTTCATTAGCTCAGACAATGCATTGAGAAAAAGCCCTCCAACCGGGCCACGAGTTCTCAGCAGTGGGCGTTTGGCAGATTGTCTTGGTCCATCTGCACCAGTCTCACTATTGCTTTTAGTTGCATTTGGATCAACCGGCTCCTCTTTACGTTTTATGCCAAAACCCACAAAAGCCGTTTCTCCTCCACTGCTCTGTCCATTAGCTGCTCTAGCCTCCGTTCTTTGTGGGGCTTCAGTTTTTGGGACCCCAAATCCAAAGGATCCAATGCCAGTACCACCAAATGCAGGCATTTTGGTATCTGATTGAGACTGAAGGGTCTGTGCGGTGAAGCTGAAGGTGGACGGAGTCGTGGGCTGAGAAGCAGGCATACTGCTGCTGGAAGGGTTGGCGGGCTGAGAGAAGGTGAACTGAATGCTGCTCCCACCACCGAGCGTCTCCTTTTGTGAAAAATTAGCATTAGAAAATGAGACAGAAGGAGCTGCTGCTGGCTGTGAGAAGCTGAAGCCCAGAGCGCTTGGCTTTACGCATGAGAACAGTGAACCACTGGAGGAATTCTCCATAGTACCAGTTACGGCCTTGGACGATCCAACAGGTTCAGAGGCTGAAGACAGATTTGAGCTGGGAGGTTCGGGGCTGACACTGAAAATAGGTTTGAAAACGGCATCATTGGGTGGCTTGAAACTAAACTGGTTCCCACCAGTGGGATTATCAGTCCTACACCCTGTTGTGGAGCTGGATGTGGCAGTGGGTACAGAGAGCGCAGAAAGCTGACCAAAACTGGGCTGGTTGGTAACAGTGCTGCTGAAGCTGGTCAAAGATTGCGTGGCACTGGAGGAAATACCAAATGCAGAAGGCTGACCAAAAGCAGAAATCTGATTCTGTCCTGTAGCTTGAGAATATGAAGGCGGTGGTTGTCCAAATCCAAGTGTGCCTTGACCCAAACTCGACTGCCCAAAGGCCGGGGCTGTTCCCAGAAAGGAGAATGATGATGGCTGCCCCAATCCTTGTGATAACCCACCTGTCTGGCCAAAAGTAGGTGTCTGGCCAAAGACAGAAGACTGTGGCGTTGGCTGGCCAAAAGCTGGCTGACTAAAAGCAGAAGGTTGTCCAAAACCAACACCATGTGCCGGGTTCTGCTGGGCACAGGACTGAAATGGGTTTCCAGACTGATTACTGTCGTTTGGTGCATGAAAGGCAGTTTGTGGTCTACCAAAGATGTTTGAAGGATTCATGATGGCTGGAACAACAGCTGTTAAGATTTACTGATGTGATACTGAGCAAATCATCAGCTGGTCATTACCAACATCCTCTGAATCCTCTAAAACAAAGATACAAAACAGTTCCACATGACTTTCCAGTTAATCTAAAACCAAATGTAAAATTATATCTACAAATAATGTCTGCATAATATGTGCAAACCCAAATTAAACATGTTTTTAAGAGCTCAAATAGGAAATGATAAAGACGAAATGCTGCTCTAAACATTGAACGCTTTTAACTTCGCAAATTCCCAAAACCAACCCCCTGAATACGAATAATATTTGTATGTATTTAATTTATCTACATTATATATGCAAAAAGTCAAAAACACTCAAATAGAAAAGAAACAAAAACTGCAAATACTTGCAATGGTGCTGTTCTCGTCGCAGTCGGACGGTTATGTTTATCTCTCTTCTTCGTGAACTGGCGCCTTGATTCTACGCGAGTCGCGGGCGATTGCGGCCTCTACAGGCAGGCAAGAGCACGACACCATTAGATGACGAGAAGTACTGGAGGTGAGTGGGCTAAAATGAACGAACCTTTACCTTACAGAATTCCACCCCAAAAAAATATAATTTTTTAAATAAATAAACAATTTTATCCATTAAGGTTTTATAATATGCAAATTAAATAATAGATATGCACAAATGAGAAATATACTACGAAGATGTCACAACTATAGGCCTGAAGTCACTTCAATTTAGATTTATGGTGATTTAAATATTGTGGAACTATACACACAAACACACACACAATTCAGGTTTAAAAAAAATCTAAAAATACAAATGTGTATTTGTCAAAGGTGATACATTAGTCATTTCATTTGTTACATAATTTTATTAGCTTAATTTCTATCAGTTGTGTTCCAATATTTATCTTTTGTAGTAATCAATTATAAATATCCCCAATTTCCCTTCCAGTAATACTGAACAATAACACAAAAAGAGAGATTTTGGATTCATTAAAAGGTTTAATTTATTTTGAAGTTCGTATAATACATGTCAGCATGAAATACAATCCACAACAACAATTTAATGGCAAGAGTTATACAAAATATGGTGGGAAAAATAGTTTTCACAGTGTTATACAGGGTCATTTATACTGTATATCCCAAAACACAATAGAATTACATCCAGACAGAGGTAAAGAAGTTGACATATTCACATGATTCACACTAGCTGATAATTTTCATATACACAGGCAGCTTATATCTTGCTGAAACATTGGTATTCTTTAGCTATGGTTCAGAAGATGTCTTCTGTCTCTCCACAAAGTGGAGGTTAACCTGTCTGTCTGGCACAAGTACTGTCCGATTGAGTGAGTGAACCTCACCTACAGTTGGGTCCGGTCTGATTTCAAACAACTTGATTAGCTGGAATGAAAAGATACAATTAAAAATCACAATTTATAATGTCATATAACTGTCTGGCACAAATTCAAAAATAATTGTCTGTATTTCTTACCCTTGCCAATGCCAGATGCAACTCCAGTTCAGCAATGCGACGGCCAACACAACCTCTGACTCCAAAGCCAAATGGGATTGACCCAAATGGGTTGGGTCTTGTTCTGCCGTCTCTGAGCCAGCGGTCAGGTTTGAACTTCCGTGGCTCTGGGAAGACTTTCTCATCATGGCTGATTGCATAGTGGCACAGAGTGAATGTTGTCTGTTTAAAAAAAAAAACAGCTGATTTAGTGATGCGAATTTCTTAACTGGCAACCCTTTTTTCATCCTAACAACATGGAGACAATTTACCTTTTTAGGAAAAAAGTGTCCACCAATGACAACATCATTTTCTGCAATAAGACGAGAATTCATGGGCACCACAGGGTACATCCTGCACATGAAATTACAGAGATTATAATATGCAGTTATACACCACTTGTCAAAAGTTTAGAATAATTAAGATTTTTTTTTAATGTTTATGAGTCTTTTATGCTATATATATATATATATATATATATATATATATATATATATATATATATATATATATATATATATATACACACACACACACATAAAAAAATCTATTCAAATATATTTTAAAATGTAATTTACTTCTGTGATTGCAAACTTGAGTTTTTAAGCAGTCATTTGACCCTCCAGTTTTCAGTGTAACACAATCCTTCAGAAATCATTCTAATATGCTGATTTGTGAATTATCATCAATTAATATCGATTAATAATAATGGTTATTTTTATCAATAGTTTTTGTGGCTTAATATTTTTGTTGAAACCGTAACATACTTTCTCAGGATTCTTTGTATCATGAATTTAGACTCCGTGGTTCCTCCCACTCACCACCAGAGGGCTCCCTCACCCAAGTACTGACTTTTTTGTTCTGGACTAATTTTCCAATAAACCACATACCTGGAACTGAATGCCACCCCCTGTCCTGTTTGTATTTCTGCTGCTTTTTTTAATAAAGCCGCAAATGGATCACAACTCTGTTGTCCCTTTGTTACAGAAGACTTCACCATCCACTGATCCAGCGGTGCTTCTTCAACTGACTAATGAAGTCTCTGCTTAGGCAAGCGTACTAGCTGCAAATCAACAGCAACTCAATCGATTAACATTGTTAACAGAGGAGCTAGTAAAGACGCTACAACATCTTAGTTTATCCATGCCAGTCCCGTCAACACCACCAGCTAGCTCCGCGGCTAAAACCAGCGCCCTCAAGCACAGTCACCGCCAATCCACACCTTACATTTCCAGAAAAATTCAATGGAACTCCAGACAAATGTAAGGGATTCTTGCTTCAATGCTCCTTGTTTGTTAATCAGCAACCTTTGTTATACCCCACAGATGAGAGCCGCATATTATTTGTATGCTCGCCACTTACTGGGAAAGATTTGGATTGGGCTACAGCAGTGTGGAACGACAAATGACCCACATTTCCCTTTTTAGCAGCTTCCTCCAACGATTTTGTGATGTGTTTGAACACCCAGAAGGAGGCAAGGATTGTCTCCAGACAATGGTCTCTCCAAATGTCTGCAACCAGTCGTTCCCAGAACCATCCAAGCTGGTACTGTTCACATGCAACCCTGCAGTTCCTAAACTTCCACAGGAGTATATTGATCTAGTGGAGGACTTCAGCAAGATTAAAGCATCACAACGTCCTCCACATTGCTGCAGTGACTGTACTATTGAGCTCCTTCCAGGCACCACACCTCCTCAAGACAGAATTTTCCCTTTGTCCCAACCTGAGTCAGAGGCTATGAAATCTTTTATTGAAGAAGAACTCGCTAAGGGCTTTATCAGACCTTCTACTTTACCAGTTTCAGCAGGATGGAGGGCTCCATCCGTGCATCAACTATTGAGGCCATAACGAGATCACTATTGCTCTGCAATGGCATTTTCCACCAGTACAGGGCACTACGAATACTTGGTTATGCCCTTTTGGGCTGGTCCTTCTGTGTTCCAAGCCTTCATCAGTGACATCTTCAAAGACATGCTGAACCGATGGGTCATTGTGTATATTGATGATATTCTCGTATACTCCAACAAGCTAGAAGACCACATCAAGCACATACATGCCAAAGCTGAAAAGTGTTAGTTCTGTAGCTTTCTTGGGATATGTGATCAGTCGAGAGGGAGCTGCCATGGATGATAACAAGGTTCAAGCTGTTTTGAAGTGGCCACAACACGCCACACCACAATTAAGGAGCCCCAATGATTTTTAGGTTTTGCCAATTTCTATAGACATTTTATCCAGGGCTTCAGCACTGTTGCAGCACCCCTTACTTCCATGCTAAAAAGGGGGGGTCACCGACTCTCCTGGTCTTCAGCAGCCCTACAATCCTTCCAAGAGTTGAAAGGCGATTTACATCCATTCCTATTCTTTACCATCCCAATCTAGATTGTCCTTTAATTGTTGAAAGTATCGGCATCGGAGCCATTCTGGCATCAGACCCATTCTGTCTCAGTGTCATGGTATATCTCCCAAGTTTTTCCCTTGTGCCTACTTTTCTCACAAACTCAGCCCTGCAGAATATAATTATGATATTGGGATCTGTGAATTACTGGCCATGAAGGTAACATTCAAAGAGTGGCAACACTGGCTAGAGGGGGCTAAACATCCATTCTTAGTCTTGACTGATCACTGAAACCTGGAATATTTACGCACCGCTAAGAGACTCAATCCAAGACAGGCAAGATGGGCCCTATTCTTTACATGCTTCGATTTCACCTTCACTTACCGTCCTGGTTCCAAGAACACCAAAACAGACGCTCTCTTACAACAGCACAAATCCTCACTCCAACCATAGAACGATGAACCCAAAATCTCCCCCCCACACTCATACTTGCTCCTATACAATGGGACATTATAACCAAGATCTCCAACACACAGAATTCAGATCCACCTCCGTCGAACTGTCCCCCAGGCAAATCTTATATTCCCTTCTCCCTCCGTTCTCCTCTCTGCTTCTGGTGACCCACCATGCAGGCTGACACCATAACCCATGTCCAGAACTGTTCCACGTGCAATATGTCAAAAACTCCCAGACAACTTCCAGCCGGGTTATTACAATCTTTCCCCATTCCTTAATGTCCCTGGTCACACATTTCTTTGTTACCAATCTTTGTTACCAATCTTCCCATCTCCCAAGGTCACACCACCATACTCATCGTAGTAGATTGCTTCTTAAAAGCCTGCCGACTCATCCCATTACCGAAACTGCCTTCTGCCTTAGAAACCGCTGAACATCTGTGCAACTACGTATACAGATTCTATGGCTTACCAGAGGACATTGTCTCTGACACAGGGCCTCAGTTCACCTCCTTGGTATGAGCTGCTTTCTTTCAGCAACTTAACATTAACGTCAGTCTCACTTCTGGTTATCATCCACAGTCTAATTGTTCAAATTGAATCAAGAACTCACTCGTTTCCTCAGAACATACTGAAACCAGAATCAATCAGACAGGAGCCAATATCTACTCTAGGCAGAATATGCTCAAACTCTCTCTTAACCCACTTTCAATGTGTGCTCGGCTTCCAACCTCCCTTATTCCCCTGGTCAGTAGAACCTACAGACCTCCTCGCAGTCAATGACTGGTTACAAAGGAGTGTATCAGACAAATTATGCCTGTGTCATATCACCTGGCCTTGCCTTACCACATCTCTCCCACTTTCTGTGTGTCTTTGCTCAAGCCTGCCAGTGATCCGAGAGGGGAGGAGGACGGTGACCAGGGCCCCCCAACCATCATTGTGGATGGCAGGGAGGCCTATCAGGTGCGGGTATGGCCCGGAGTAGCGGTCCTGTGTCAATTCAGAGGACATTTCCGACACCTCACTTATTGCAGAGTTCCATAGGACCCATCCATATAGACCTGCCCCTTGACCTTGAGGAAGACCCCAGCATCGATTGCCTCCTCACGTCAGGAGCCACTTGCAGGAGGGGGGCTCTGTCACAAACATGTCTTCTGTGGTTCCTCCCACTCACCACCAGAGGGCTCCCTCACCTGAGTATTGACTTTTTTGTCCTGGACTCCATTACCCATGATACCCATACCTGGAACTGACTGCCATCCTCACCTGTTCCCCATTTCCCAGACTATTTAAACAGCTCACTTACATCCACTCCCTTGCAAAGCCTTGTTTTGCCCTGGCTGACATTTCTCAGTATTCCATTGTTTCCTATTGCCTTGCCTGTGTATGACTCTGGACTTGTTACCTTGTTTCTGACCCTTGCTGCCTGCCTACTGATCTCTGCCTCGATTGTTTGGATACTGTTTATAATTGTTCGCTACCTGTATTTTGACTATGACTCTGTTTTGTCTTGGATATTGTTACTGCTGGTGTTCGACCCTGGCCTGTTTGTATTTCTGCTGCCTCTTTTAATAAAGCCGTAAATGGGTCCAATCTCTGTTGATCTTTCGTTACACTTTGACGAATAGAACGTTCAAAAAACAGCATTTACTATAAATAGAAATTTTAAATAAATGCATTAATTTCTTCTTTTTTATCTTGCTCAACCCAAAAAAAATTTTTGGTAGGATATTACAGTTTACATAAAAACATTAAGCTGCGCAGCTGTTTTCAATATTGATAATAATAAGAAAGGTTTCTTGAGCACCAATTCAGCTCATTTTTATGATTTCTGAAGGATCATGTGACATTGAAGACTGGAGTAATGACTGTTGAAAATTCAGCTTTGCTATTACAGGAATAAATTACATTTAAAAATATATTCAAATAGAAAACTGTTATTTTTAAATTGGAATAATATTTCACAATATAACTGTTTTTATTGTATTAATGATCAAATAAACGCAGCCTTGGTGAGCATTAAAGACTTATTTTCCAAGCATTCAAACATTTGACCAGTAGTGTATAGTATATGCCGAATTTGCTTTTTGGGTTGGCCTCTGTCAAATCTTATTTTGACTTCTCAAAGATGTATTATATTACACAACATAATTCTCAACCTTAATGCTTCCTTGATGACAGCTTTGAGGTAAGGCATGCTGTTCACTTCCTGTGCAGTTGGGATTCTGTCGCCCTTTAAGACTCTGGTTACATCCTGATACAGAGCCTCTTGAGCTTCTGGATCTCTTGAGAGGAGATACAGTGCCCACAACATAGTGTTGGAGGTCTAGAACATGACGAAGAACAAATATAATTTCAAAACGCATACAAATTTTGCTTAAATATAGTCAAATATACATTAAATGTCTCTTACTGTGTCCACTCCAGCCAACAGCAGCTCAGAAATACTTCCATAAACATCTTTACTGCTCATCTTGACATTGGAAAGCAGGTAGGTGAGATACTCCCCAGCAACCTCCTGATTTGCATCCAAGCGCTTCTGAATGGCCTCCATCTTCATGTCAATCATTTTTCTGGCTATGCATAATCCATAAGTACAATACATCATCAAACTGCAAAACATGCCTGTATCTCTTGTAGTCTATCTGAAGAAGATGCGTGAATTAATAAGCTTACCAAATTTGAATATGCCCTCCCAGCCATTAATGTACCACTGCCAAAATGGCAAGTAATTGCGAGTCCAGTTTGGCAGCAACACCACAGGCATGCTGTAGGTGAACATTTGTGCAATAGAATTAATGAAATCTTGTGTCTCGGCAGGAATCTCCTTCTCCAGGCAGCCAATGCGTGTCTCAAACAGAATGGAAGAGATCCCTGAATGAGAAAAAGATCAGTAAAGAACTTCACAATTTTTGTGGGTAAAAATTGTGTTAAATTGGCATGCACATTAATTGTAATAATAATATAAAGACTATAGTTTGTTTCATAAAATGGATGGATAGTCATGACTTTAGCCATGGTAAAATCTATGTTTTTTGTTGTATGCAGCATTATTTCAGGGATCATATAGCCTAGTAGACGAATGCCATTTAGTCAACTTTCTAAATTACTCAATGAATAATAAAACAATAACATTAAATCTTTTAATACTTTAAACTATTTTATTAGGTTTTAATAACAACATATATAATATTTCCATAATATTTTAATATGCAGGCAAATAAAATAATCCCCATAAGGACAAGCTGTAATACGAATATTTGTGGTCAGTAAGATTTTGTTGAAACAAATCAATACATCCATTCAGCAAGAATGCATTAAACTGATCAAAAGTGACACTAAAGACAATTATAATCTTACAAAAGATTTGTAACATTCTATTCCAAAGAGATGCAATACCTTTGAACGTCCTATTTATAAATGTTATTACAAATAATTATATATGTTGTTTCTTTTAAGCAGTTCTTTCACATAGTAGTGTCAGGTAGGCTCCTAATTATCCTCAGGGGAACACGTAGCTATTAAGGGCATTGTGACAAATCAGGTACATCCTTGGGAATCTGTAAGCAAGTTGTATCTTCTGTTGTCTGATTTGATCTCATTTATGGAAAGGAAATACCTTCAAGGGAAAAGCGATAAAGCTCATTGGTCATGTTAGAGACCAGATCACCGGTGGGGCTCATCTGCCGCAGATAGTAAATCCGTTTGATGAAGTCTGTGACCACCGCATTGACCACATCTCCATACTGCACGGAGTCCTTTGGATGCAGCATGCGTTTGTTCAGCACTGTCCGCAGTTTGTACCATTTCTCTCTTTCTCTGTTGAAGAACATAGTCTTTTCAGAAGGGCAACAATAAACGGCACAACTTGCTAGAGTTCATAAGTTTACATAATATCACATGGCTACATAAGCCAAATGTACTTTGGTCTTATAAAATCTCCAGACATGACTAGTCTTGCAGAATGTTTGTTACAAAACAAGCCTATGTTACAGATACAGAGCAACTGTGTCAAAAGTTTTTTACTCAGTGAAAGGGCCGTAGCCGATGCCTTTCATGTCACGGTACTCTGTCCACAAAGTCATGTCTCCTCTGGAAGGAAACTTCTCATCTTTTCTAAGGAGCTCCTCCAGTAAGTCCACACTGTTTATTGAAATGGCTTGGAAGTTTCCAGCATTCACTTTGTACAAAGGTCCATAAACCTGGTTTTCATATAACTGGAGAGATGAAAACAAGTGGTGAAGAACAAAGAAGATGTGCTAATAAAGAAACATCTGGTTGATTTTGAGATAAATTGCATTGTTTCAGAGCAACATCCGACTGAGATCACAACAAGTATACTGAATTATGTAAAAGTGTTCAATTATACAAGACAGTAGTTTCCTTTCTATTCGATGTCCTTAAAGGTAAAAACAGTACAGGCTGCGGTCACTGAGACTCATCAGACAGATGCTGTAACCCAGCTCGCCTGCTAGCGCAGTTCTGAAATACCAGAAGAAAGGTAAGACTTGGGACTTGCAGTTTGCAGTCACATTATACCATTAAAAAAAAATCTGATGTTATTTGAAGTGAAAGTGAAGTGACATGTGGCCAAGTATGGTGACCCATACTCGGAATTAGTGCTCTGCATTTAACCCAAAGTGCACACACACAGCAGTGAACACACACCCGGAGCAGTGGGCAGTCATTTTTTTTGCTGCGGCGCCCGGGGAGCAGTTGGGGGTTCGGTGCCTTGCTCAAGGGCACCTCAGTCGTGGTATTGAAGGTGGGTGAAGAGCTCTGTACATTCCCCCCCCCCCCCTACAATCCCTGCCGGTACGAGACTCGAACCTGCAACCTTTGGGTTACGAGTCCGACTCTCTAACCATTAGGCCACAAGTATAAAAATAGCAACTTATACTATTTGCATTTTGTCTAGTAACAGATTATTAGAGTTAATAAATACATACATAATATTACAGGTATATGTAGTACTGTTCATAAGTTTGCAGGTCTCTAAGATTTGTAACATTTTTTTAAAAGAATTCTCTTATGCTCATCAAGGCTGCATTTATATAATAATAAAAAAACAGTAATATTGGGAAATATTATTACAATTTAAAACAACTGCTTTCTACTGTAATATGCTTTAAAATGTAATTTATTCCTGTGATGCAAAGCTGAATTTTCAGCAGCCATTACTCCAGTCTTCAGTGTCACATGACCCTTCAGAAATCATCAATGTTGAAAACAACCATTTTTTTGTTGAAACCATGATACATTTTTCCCAGGATCTTCTGATGAATACAAAAAAAGTTCAAAAGAAAAGTATTTATTTGAAATGGAATACAACTCGGTCCTCTGAGATTTATATTAATATTGTTGTAACTTTGTCTGTCTGCACCAGACTAATCTACACTCTGTATAAAAACTATACTTTATAAGACACTATTATTCATAGTAACATCAACTGTAAACAAAGCAACTGTGCTCACATAAAGCTGCTCTTCCCGCAGCCTGGGGGTCCATACAGCAGATATCCCCTCCTATATGGAATGCCTGATTGAAACATATTCAACAACACATTTGGAATACAAAAATAAAACACAAAATAAACAAAAAAAAGCAATACTTTTTTTAATTATTACAAAGATTTCAAATAGAGGCATGCAGGCATTTTTTTTTCCTGATATGCAAGTACGAAAAATAATTTTTTTCACCTCTGTCTGTGTACCACTTAGGATTGCCAATGAACTCCTTTACATCATCCACAATCCTCTCTGCCACACCATTCTCTAGCACTACGGAAGACAGCGGTCGCCGTCGCCTTGGAAACCCAAATGGCCTCCACTCTGCTCCAAGCGCAGTGTACATCACAGTTCTGCCCTCTTCCTGCTTTAAAGCAAGTTCACGTGCTGCATGGACACAGAATCAATCATTAAGACTGCAGCATATTTTTTAAGAATTCAGCCTGACAGTCTTTAAAACTATACATTTGACGTTAATATAACATTTCACAGCAGGTTCTCAACACTGCTGAGTGAAGGAAAAATGAATAAAACACAATCTAGCCGCTCATACCTTCTTGAAGTATGTTGAAGAATATTTGGCGGTCTCTGCCCAGAGCAGTAAAGGTGACGGACTCCCAGGGCGTTCCAGTGTGCAGGTCCACCATCTGCTTTTCCCTGGTCCTCTCCACTCTGATCCACTTCCTGCCATACCTGAAAACACAAAGCCTCAATCAGAGAGACGGATAACTATGTGTTGGATTGATTTCTGAGAGAAAGTCAAATCAGCAGCACATTGAATGTAAACTGCCCAAAGTAACATCACGATATATTCTGATCTTACCAAATGATGTGGTTCCCTGGACTTGGATGGAAGTCAAACTGTGTATGGACTCGTCCACTCTCATGCTGCATGTATGAGGTCTCTACACTCAGATGCTGGGTGTGTTTGGCATGTTTAGTGATCCAGCTTAAGAGCCAGTGATAACTTTTATCTCTGCTTGGGACCTCCAGTGTGATCATGTAATTTCTCCTAAAGAAGACCATGCCAACCTGTGCCCCCTTTCTGGCAACTGCGAGTGCTGTACCAACACCAACTAGTCCAAATCCTGCCCCAAAGTAAGGGTTGTCCTTCAGGGCTCCAATAAAATCTGACAGGGTCATGATGAAGGTGTCTTCAGGATCTCTTATTCAATCAGGAAAAGCCTTTTTGTCCCTTCATTGCAATATGCAACCTACATTCACAGCAGATGAGGTGAAATCATTTTCATTTTGATGAGAGATTGTTGAGATTGATAAAACGTTATGCCAAGCTGTCACTGACCAGGTCTATCTTTTTATTTAAATAAATGCAGATTTAAAAAGTCTCTATACTTACGGCAGAGCAAATATCAAACCGCACTTTAGAAACAACATTCTTTCTGTTAGCTGAAAAGAAACGAAAAGACGCGAATAAGATGAAACATAAGCAAACCCTTTCTACAGTAACCCAGCGTTGCAAAGTGAACAAAACGTTCTTTTGAGTGAGTCGAATCTTTGCAATGACTCGGTTGAAATGATTCTTCTTCTTCTTCTTCTAATAACGTTTTATGGGGGATGGCAAACCAACTTCTGGTGCATTTACCGCCACCAACTGGGCTGGAGTGTGGAGCACTAATAAGCAACTACTATATACATATTTATATTTATCTATATTTTATATAAAAAAATTAAATACAAAAATAATAAAATAAAAAATAAAAAAAAATAAAATAAAAAAAATACCCACACATTCCTAAATTCTCCTGACTAATCCTATTTCTTTAATGTATTTAACAATAGCACCATATATTTTACCTTGTTCTGCATGCTCTTTCAAGAGATTTGACAAATTAAATGATTCAACACCCATGTTTCTTACTTCCTCAATGAGTTTTAACCTTTCTTTTTCCATATTTTATACATTTTATTAAAACGTGCTCTATTGTTTCTGCCTGATTACAAAAAATACATTGACCTGTTTCATGTTTTCCTATATTAAACAGAGAGTAATTTAATCTAGTATACTTAGCAAGCTTATCAACCACTTCATTAGCCTCCACTCCCACATGAGCGGGAACCCACAAAAATGTTATTAAGCTTATATTACTTATTCTTAATAAACTTGCAAGAATCTCATAAATAATGTCTTGCCTTGATGATTTTACTCCACTTGCAAGGCTCAATATTGCTGCATAAGAGTCAGAACATATTACTACTAATCTTGGTTTTACTTCCTCTACCCACTGGAGTGCTACCACCATGGCAATTAATTCTGCTGTATACACGGATACATGATCAGTTATTCTTTTCTTAATACTAGTTTGAAACTTTGGAATAAATACTGCAGCAGCTGTTCTGCCAGAGATAGGGTCTTTAGAACCATCAGTATAAATATGTAACCACGATGGATAAGTCTGATCTAAATACTGCTGTGCAATAATGTTCTTAGGTTGAAATGATTCACAAATCAATCCCACTTTAAACTCGTTTCATTTTGAACCGGTTCTTTCAGACCAACTGTTCAAAGGAACCGATTCACTCAAATGAGCAAATCACATGGCGACCTCTGCGTTGTTTCCGTTGTTCAGGAAAATAGTTCCGTATGAACCGTGTTTCACTTAATAGTTCCGTTGTGACTGCTTACGACGCAGTCGCGTCATGACACTTTTAGGTATCCTTATGAACAACTGTCTGTATATTTTGTGTTTTTTAAAAAAGTATTATTCTCCACTGTGTATACAAAATTATGTCAAAATTAATTTTCCTCTTTGAACAGAAAACGCCCAGAAATAACGCTGCTTACATTGTTTCCGTCCACACAAGTGCAGGTAATTTCTTATTATATAATTGAAGTAATAAATAATGTGTATAAACATAATAAAGCATTAATGCGTTATCGCGTTTATTCGTCTCTTGATGTTGACTGTATTCGAGTAGTTTGCTTTAACTGAACACATCTTCTGTTCCGTGTGGATAGGTTGTTTATTTGTTTGTCAGAGCAAACGAAACACGAACCTTCGCGCAGGAGGTCCAAATTTGTTTAATACAATTTTTTCCCCCCAACAAAACATGTTCACGTAATATTTAACGCACTGGATGAATTGCTTTATGTCCTTAATGTTAACAGACAAAAACACTCAGCTCTTTTAATCTCAAATCTGGTATTCCAGAACCCTGTTAATCACATTTGGAAGTCATTGGTGATGCAGAACAGTCGTGTTGCTCTGGGAGACGGGAACACTTCATGGTCCTGATGCTGTGATAGAGTTTTACCCCTCTTGAGAGCCGCGCAGGAGGTCCAAATTTGTTTAATACAATTTTTTTCCCAACAAAACATGTTCACGTAATATTTAACGCACTGGATGAATTGCTTTATGTCCTTAATGTTAACAGACAAAAACACTCAGCTCTTTTAATCTCAAGTCTGGTATTCCAGAACCCTGTTAATCACAATCACATGTGTTGCTCTGGGAGACGGGAACACTTCATGGTCCTGATGCTGTGATAGAGTTTTACCCCTCTTGAGAGTTGATTTTATCCCTCAATGACTAATGTACTGTGGAGTTTGACCCAAATATGGACCTACAAAAGCCTGGATGTGATTCAGAACAACTCAAGCATGTGGAAAATAATGCAGCAGATACACCGGAAGGTAAAATACAACAATACTTAGAAAACCATATGTTTAATAAATTATATATTATACATGTAAGATGTAGTCCTTTGGCATCCATGGGTCTCTGGAATATTTGATTTCGATTGGTCAGTTGCTAGATTAACATCCCTTTTAGATGAACAGCTTTGACAGCTCACAGATAATAAGAAGTGTATTATTGTCTTTGTTGTAGCTTTGTCTCCGTTGAAGGGGATGGATATGCCTGTTCAAACTAGAAGCAAGAAAAGTGTAACCAAAAAATTGAAAGCATCCACAAAAAAGGGGGAAAAATGTGCTACCATTAGCCAAGAAAAGTTTCCATCTAAAGGTAAATATAATAAATGAGATGTAATTAAAATAATTATAATCCCAGGTCTGATTTATGCCATCTTTCTGTTTAGTGGGACATGTTGCAGAGGGCACTGAACACATGTTTCGCACCCACATCTGCTCTGAATGCAGACGCTGCTTCAAGACTCGCTCCCATTTGATAGAACATATGCGTATTCACTTTCCCGACCCCAGTCTGCAATGTCCCACCTGCAAACACCACTTCACCAGTAAGAGTAAGCTGCGCGTCCACATGCTGAGAGAGACGGGACAGAAGCTGCACCGGTGTCATCTATGTGAGTATGGAGCGGTGGAACGTAACTCTCTGCGACGACACCTCGCCGGCGTGCATGGGCATCAAGAAGATGATGCTCCCAATGGAGAGCTCTTTAAGTGCCCAACTTGCCAAAAGACTTTCAGTCAGAGTCAGGCATTAAAGAGCCATATGAAGTCTCACAATAAGACACAAGATGGACAGCCGTTACCTTGCTTCCATAACGGCTGCTCATTTCAGTGTACAGAAAAGAAGCGGCTTCTAAAGCATGTGTTAGATGCTCACCAGATTGAAGCCGTAGAGTGCCATCATCACGCCTGTGGCGCCTTCTTCGGGAGCCTAGAAGACATGGAGAAACATTTGCGCACGCATCAGGCTTATCACTGCCCCCATTGTGACTTCTCATGCTCAAACAAGAGCCTTTTTCAGCAGCACAAAAGGCAAGGACATCCAGGGAATCAAGAACTGAACTGTAGCTTCTGCCCTTTCACAACCCTCAACCCTGTAGAGTTCGATCAACATGTTGGTCACTTTCATGCCAGTGAGAAAACACACCACTGTGAGCAGTGCAGCTTTGTAACAGCTCACAAAAGAGTTCTGAAAAGACACATGCTAATGCATACTGGTAAGATATTCAGTTGCTCTACTTAGTTCTTATAAGTGTTTATAGGTATAGTTCACTCAAAAATAAAGATGTGGTCATCATTTATTCAGTCTTGTTATTTCAACCCTGTATTATTTCCTTTTTTTTCATGAAAAAAAATCTAAATTGGATCCTGATTGATTTATACTGATTTAATTTATACAACCTGTGTGATGTTTTTCAAAGTATTTTGAAGTCATACAATAGCTTTGTGTGAGGAACCAAATTAATTTAGGTATCTTCCCCTCTGCTGTAAATATCAAATTTCATAGCATTTGCACAACAGTATAGTTTAGCTGCAGCAAACGTGTAGGAATAAGTGTACTTCGATTACTTTTATGATACTTTTATTGTGTTTTTTGTCCTTCAGTATAAATCATCTGCTTTCATTCTGTGGAAAATAGCAGATTCTTCGTTTGTATTTCACACAGGAAAGAAAATTATATAGGGTTTGAAATGACACATGAGCGAGAAGATGACACAATTTAGATTTTGGAATGAACTATTCCTTCAAAATTACTCATTGACCATTGATAGACAGATAACGTTTGTATTTACAGGTGAAAGGCCCCACAAATGTACTCTGTGTGACTTCAGATGTCGTGATGAAACATACCTTTCAAAGCACATGCTGACACACTCTAATGACAAACAGCACATGTGCTCAGAATGCGGATATGTTACGAAATGGAAACACTACCTCAGTGTCCACATGCGTAAGCACGCAGGAGATCTAAGGTATGTACCTTGTTGAAATAAAAATATGATAATAAAAAGAAACATTTCTGTTTACTGATCTACCTCACATCTCTCTCAGGTACAAATGTAATCAGTGTCCATATCGTTGCCATCGCATTGACCAGCTGAACAGCCATAAACTCCGTCACCAGGAAAAATCCTTGATCTGTGAGGTGTGTGCATACTCCTGCAAGAGAAAGACTGAATTGCGCAGCCATATGCAGCTCAAGCACTCCACAAAGGCAGATCCTCAACCTCCTGTTTACCAGTGCCAGTTTTGCCCTTACACAACAAAGTACCGCCAAGCCCTGCATAGCCACGAGAACTGCAGGCACACCCGGACACGCGTGTTCCGCTGCGCACTTTGCCGCTACACCACATTTAGCAACACCGGCCTCTTCCTGCATAAAAAGAAATCCCACGGATATGTGCCTGGAGATGTGGAGTGGCTTGAGAAATATGCACAGAAAGAAAAAGAGCAAAGCTCTGTGGAGTTGACGCACAACTTTTTCTCCAAAACCACAGTACCTCAGACTTCCAATTCAGAATATAGGGAAGAAGATGACTCAAAAGATATGTCTGTAAATGATAATGAGAATGAAGCAATAGCAGCCACTATTGGAGGAACTGAAGAAATTACTTTAGTACAGCAGGCCAGACTTGATATTGAGTCTGCAAGAGAAGAGGCAAGTAATCTTTCTGAAGGACATCCAAATAATGAAGAACAGTGTGGCTCCCCACTTTTTACTTCCCAAACCAGCCAGAGCAGCACACAAATCTTACTTGCAGAGACAGTAAATATACACAACACCGCATTTGAAGCCCACTTCGGGGGCTATTTTGAATCTCACACATTGCAAACAGTCCACCG